GGAAGGAAGGAAGGAAGGAAGGAAGGAAGGAAGGAAGGAAGGAAGGAAGGAAGACCAAGAAGTGATGGCAGATCCAGCTAACCACATCCACACACAATCTAGAGGGGCCCCAACCATCCTAACCTAAGGCCTGGGAGGACAGCCAGGTCTTTAAGGCCTTCTGGAATGCCAGCGGGGTGGGAGCCACATGGATATCATAAGAAATCTCATTCCAAAGGGCAGGCATCACTACAGAGAAGGCATGCTTCCATGTGCCCGATAGGTGAAACTGTTTAACTGAAGGGACCCAGAACACACCAACTTGGTTGGACTGAACCGGCCTGGCTGATACCATGGAAGACAGGTGGTCCCCCCACTAAGCAGGCCTGTGCTACACAGGGCTTTTTAGGTTACAGCCAGCACCTTGAATCGCACCTAGAAGCATACCAGTACACCAGTGCAGCTCACGAAGCAAAGGTGTCACGTGGGCATACCAAGGCATGCACATCACTGCCCACGGCATTCTGGACCATGTGAAACCTCCAAGTGGTCTTAAAGGGCAGCCCCACGTACAGGCCATTGCAAGCATCAAGCCATGAAGTGATCAGGGCATGAGGGACTGTTTCAAGGGCCTCTTGATCCAGGAAAGGGTACAACTGGTACACCAGATGAAGCTGTGCAAAGATGTTCCTAGCCACAGCTGTCACCTGATCATCAAGCAGTAGCCATGAGTCCAAGAATACCCCCAGATTTCCCCCATTCTTGAATGAGGAAGTGCGGCCCCAAACAAAACAATTCACAGAATATGTAAAATGGATTCAAATTCACAGAATTTTAAGCAAGCGTTTGAGTTAGACAGTTTTCAATGGCAAGCAGTTTTGTAAATTCATCTCTTGGGGTATCTTGGGGTAAAAGAGTAAAAGATTTGCTGCCCAGAGCTGTACTCTAAGATGGGCAGCCATATAAATCTTTTAAATAAATAAATAATCTATCTATCATTATATTGTGTTTGCTAGCTAATCTCAGCCAGTCATATCGCCCAACCAGGGACCTATTACTAGAGTAGCACCATTACCTGAGGCTCATATGCATAGAAAGCTCCTGTACGATACGGTCATGCTTTCCAGTGGATGAAAATTTTCCCAACCAACTTGGAAAGCTTGGAAATTGCTGCAAGTAGCCTCTCATCAGCTCCCCAGGGAGGACACTTGAATAAATGGCCTGAAAGGAAGGAAACAGTTTTACAACTTTTTCTGTTTCTGAGAAAATACACTTGAAGAGGCAGAGCAAAGGGCCAAGGCCGATGTACCAATTAAACAAGGAGAACACGGATGAAATTAATCGTCCCATCAATGATTCAGAATTATTCTAATTTCTCTTCGTGCCTTGCTTAAATTCATCCTCAGGAATACCAAAATAAAGGATCCTTCTTCCAAAGGCATTATTCCAGGGTCTATCAGACTTGTAAATATCACTAGATTCATATACTTGTCAAATCTAACATTTATTTTGTCTGCAGCTCTGATTTATAGCATCTCATCCACAAGAATACTCTCAAATGCTCTAGAAATATATTTACTCTACTCAGCCTTCTATTATTTGAAAAGAGAGTGTGAAGAATAAGAGTCTGTATGTCTTACAACAGAATAGAGTATACATCATATATGCTATATCAGCTATCGGACAATAAAACAGTTCCCCACTGACAATCATTATTCTTATAACAAACATGACTTTTAAGAAAAGATTTGTTCTAATCTGAAACCAGATAAATTGGCACTGCTTTGAAATTCTAAAAATGTGCTACTCAAAAGAATTTCAGGTTAGAATGCAATCTAACATTAGGATTGAACGATGAAAAAAATTGACATTTCTTTGTGTGATATCTGTCGACATATCTTTCAAAGTTTATGCTAAATAAGTAAATAAAAATACAGGAAAAAAATAACATTCTGATATTTTCCTTCCAACTTAAAATTATTTTTCTGATTATGTGCCATGAAATCATTGTCAACCCGTAGCGACCACATAGATAGATCCCTTGGGTTGTGCAGAGAAAAATAATGAATAATGAAAAAAATAATAATGAATCAGAGCTGGCTTTTAAGGTGACTGCATTTTTATTTTTGCAAGAAACAACTTTTTCCTGCATCGAATCTATATGCAAAACAAAAGAGCGGTATAACCTGGGTAGGTAGAAGGCTCCAGTTTTGTCGAGTGCGAATCTGACGCTCAACTAAATCGCCATCGCAAATACTGTCAGCGGCTTTGCTAAGTAAGATTAGTTCTTTCTTTAGGTTGTTTCTGGAAAGGATGAAGACAGCTCATATTATTCCCCAACAGAAGTTTTTGTCCTACATGCCAACAACGCTATCAAAATAACTATCAGAACTTACCCAGCAGCAGCGGGTTTCACGTGTACGTAGTTTTCCTGGACAAAGAGGGGCGCTAGAGAGTAGTCGTGGAAGAACAGGTCTGCTTTGTCTATAAGGGACATGTGAGAAGCCTCCTCTCCCTTGGCAAAAACCTTCCTCACAACATCAAAAGGGCCCTGGAAAAAGAAAGCCTCTGAAGTCATCAAGGAAAGCCGCTGCAAGGACGGATCAGATTCGCCTCAAGCACGCAGACTGTCTCTGCAAGAGGTCACTGGAATGAGCTGGCCTTTGCATTAAACAGTTCATTGCGACAGGTGAGTTAGAACTTGAATCAAGAGGCTGTCATGTCCCACCACCTCACTGTTTGTACCACCAAGCATGGGGAGTGGAGGATAATAGAAAAAAATCTCCAACTCCCTGAAAACTAAGAAATATCCCATATCTAGAATGTGGAGTATCATTATTAAATTCATTCCATGGCCATTAGTCTTTGGTCTTTGAGCAGGATCATTCTGCTATCTCATAAACTTCATCAGGTCACTTAGGGAGAGTCCTGAAATATATCTTCTGCTATGTGCTACTGAAAAACTAGTTTTTTATTTCCACAAAGTATTGCTCACTTGTTTAAGTAAACAACCGATTTTTATGTAAAATAGCAAACCATATTTTCTACATTCTTTTCTTGTTTGCATTGCAATCACACGTCAATTCCAAACATGTAAATCAGCATGGACTTGCTTTCTTCCTTGGTACAGGTGAGGTTCTTGAACCTTGTTGAAATCTTGTAACTGTTTTTTTAAAAATGTTCATTGTAACTGGGTGTCACTGGATTTTTAGTAGTGACATACAAAATGTTTCGAATTTAAGACCTAGATTTCAAAAACCTCCCACTTTGAGATCAAAGCAATAGTTCTAATTCTGCTAGGAATTTTCTGATATTGCTCCAACCATTCCAGAAGTATTCCGGACTCAAAATACCCATGTGTAGAGCTTGGAACACTTCCGGGATGTTACTCTGGGGCACTTCCAGGATGGTTGGGACAAGCCATTTCAAACTTGAAGCGTTTCTAAAACCTCCAGAACCCTTTCCGAAATATGTTGCATGGATGTGGCCTTCAATCAAACTTACCAGCTTAATATCCTTTTTGGCTTTACTGGCGTCTTCTTTGACACCGTCATAAGTCAAGTTTTTGTCTCTTGCACACCACATGCTGAGATTATGCAATACCTTTCAACAAAAAGAAAGTACAAAGGTTCAAGTTTTCTCATAATACCTAAGAAAATGAAAAAAATGGATTACCTACATATCAATTTTCTTATAAACACACGCTGCAGATTAATACTTCCCATTAGTCATCTCAATTTATAAAACAATTCCTTTCTTTCAACAACAAAAGCTTTCCGTATCAATGGTTTCTGCTTCCAGTTGCCCCAAGTCCCTCCATGCTGCCTATCTAGAACTATAAATGGCAGCTCTGTTCTTTTAAATATCAGTATTGATAGGTAACTCACTTGTCTGATATCTTGATTAGCTGCCAAAATGAGTTCATTCATTGCTGGTGGTGGAATCTTTAATCCTTCTTTGAAAGCAATGGACATCATAGCACCCTGCAAGAGCCATTTATTTTGAATGAGCAAAAACCAAAAAGGTGCAGGTAAATACAGAACTTAAAAGTAGTATCATCACCTACAGCGTTGGAAAAGGCTACAACAGGCACCTGCTAGCTCAACATCAACAAATGTGTTCTTTTTGCATTAACAGATCTTACTGTATATGAAACTGTCTAAAGCTCCTACTCTATGGGAGTATACGCTGTTCAGTCAAAAGTTGGAATATCTGCAACTACATTTCTGAAAGATTTCTGAAAACAACTGATGTCTTCAAAATAGCAAGTTGAAGAAGAAAGACTTGTTCTTTCTGTTCCTGCCCCAGCACTGACATTTCATTATCATTATTTCTTCTTCTTCAGCCTTCTTGATTTGACAACTTCAAACTGCTGTTAAGGGCTATCTGTTTAAATGCTTCACTTCAGATATTGCCTATAGAAAAACAGCACATCAGGAACTGACTGTAGTCCAAAAGGCTCAGACGTGCTTGGCACAAGTGATAAGTTCTACAAGCTTTATTAAAGGATTTATAAGCCACCTTTTATGTTAACCTTCACAAGATAGTACATATATTTACAAGATAAAACATAACAGCAGATTGAGTACTCTAACAAACTTACCTTAAAACAAACAATACAAATTAATCAATAAAAATAGTTTGAAATAAAAATATATTTTAATAATGGTAGGGCCATCCACATTTCCAAGGAGATAGTTCTATAAGTGTAGGTCCCCTCCAACAAACCATAGCCCTGGTTCTCTTTCACCAATCAACCAGACAGCAAGACCTCATATTTATTTACACCAAGGCAGGCTCCTAGAGGTGGAAGTAGTTAAGCTCATGAACGAGTTTTCAGCAGCCATTAGCTTTTACTGTTCTCCCTAAAAGTAACCTCCGAGAAAATATACCCCAATACTAGAAGAGACCAAACACAGAGCCTTGGCAATGAATGTTTTAGGCATAAATGAGCCCTACCATACTAATTGTCAAATCTTTACCTTGATCTGCTCCACCCTTGGCCTTGGAAAACGAAGGTCAAAACAATAGTGGACGAGAGAACGGATCTTTGGATGATTCCGATCGTTACACATACAAATTATTGGAACTTTTGTGTGCTTAATAAGATCTATTAGCTCCTGCAAAAAAAGACAAGATATTATGAAATCATTTGTTCAGAACCACTGTACTGACTACTGAACAGATTAATCCACATTTAACAGGAGTGTCACCCAGCATTCAGTTATTTAAGAAAGGACTAGCTGACTAACAGATCAAAATTAGTTTCCCAGACATTTTAAACAGAAAAATTAAAGTTTGAGCTTTTTGTTAAGTTCCTTTTAGCATCAGCTTAAAACAGCTGGTCAAATCGAAGGTCTATGCAGAGAAAGCAGGGATCTGTAGTTACTAACCATAAGAGATTAATGACCAGCACTTCTAGTAGTTGCTCCCAGCAGAGACTGCTCTGTTGGGAGCTTGAGTGCCGCATGTAAACGCTTTCCTTTCTGAAATCTGGGAGGTAGCTACTATAACATGCCTCTTGAAAGTCACCTCTTCATATGGACTTTTCTGGAACGAATGTTGAAAGTCTCCCTCCCCATCCCCTTGTTAATGAATATGTCTTACTGAATGTTCTTTATATTGTTAAAAGTATTACTTTCTTTCTCTTTTTATTGTAAGCTGCTACAAGATGCCTCAGCACAGGAAGCAAGATACAAATACACTTTAATAAGAACATGCTATTCAGTTCTACTGATTTCCATGAACTTAGTATGGCTAAGTATGGCTCCCGGGGAATCCAATCTTGAGGGCATCTGTACGACATGCTAAAACCACATTAGTACCAGCCAGAGAAAAGGCAACTCTCGTGCTAGTCTGACCCATCTCATGGCTCACCAGTCACATGAACCAAGCGTATCTATCAGCTCAGAAGCCACTTATCCAATAATTAAGGCCAATTCCGCGACAACAACATATTCTTTCATATTTTATCCCTTTAACTTTTGCCTGAATTTGAATGATCCCCCTTTTTACCTGCTAGGTTTATCTGATTTAAGTTTATTAGATCTCAATGATTCTTTAAGCTCACTGAATTCCGGCCCAAGGGTCATTCAAAATTGCTTCCTCTCCCCAGTACAAAACAGCCCACAAGCATTCATTTGTTTGTTACCTGTATTCCACCTCTGTCTTCGTTGCCAGCCATTCCATCAACCTCATCCATTATTAGGACATGCTTTGTACTGACAGAAGGTGACGTCCCTAAGGATGGAGGAGAAACAGAAAGAAAGAAATTGCACTGAAATCTAATTACCAATGCAGAACTGCTACTGCTTTTTAACAGTGAATTAAAATACAGAGGTGAACCAGCAATTCTGATCATGAGGAACTGTTTATGACCTCATGCACATGGCTGTCATTTAACCATGAATGGGGACCACCAAATCCATTTAGATTTTCCAACTAAGCAAAAGCAAAACCTACAGTGATAAGGGAAGATACCTGAGCAGAATCCTTTTATGCTGGTATTATTCAGAGATTCCGCAACCACTTCCTTCAGGCTGTTCTTACTGCGAGTGTCGCTAGCGTTTAACTCCACATAACTCAAACCCAGTTCCTAATTTCAGTAAACAATAAAGACAACAGCATTAGGAGATGACACTAACAACATCTTGCACGCAGAATGATTTTACAGGCAGGCAGAGTCCTATCCATCACTTGGCACATCATTTGCTTCACGTTACCAATGGCGAACTAGGCAATGCTCTTTAGGAAGCCAGATTCAGCCTTGGCTCCTCCTCAAATCAGATCATTGTCCTTTGCCCAAAGCAGTCATTTTTATTACTAAAAACATTTACACTAAGCCACCAATACAATTGTGTCAGTGGAGAGAAAGAAAACTAGCCTGAAACACTTGGTGTTTTCATCTTGGCTTCATGATCAAACAAATAATCTTGTAATTTCAGTTAAGCTTTATACGCCAACTTGGAAATCCCACTGGAACTATACAGGCGAGGTAAACCAAGAAATCAGGTAGACCAGGGTTCCTCAACCTTGGCAATTTTAAGACGGGTAGACTTCAACTCCCAGAATTCCCCAGCCAGCAAGGGGTAGACAACTTCTTAATGGTTGAAGAGTAATGGTGCAAATTCAGGCAGAGACATCATATACGCCAAATGGGGTGGGATTTTCATTTCTTTTTCCCCCGAAGTTTTTTCTTTCTAATTATTCAACCTACTTTAGGGCATCCATTGTGTGTTTCATGCATTAAAATGGCAGCAAACAAAGGAGTTGATTCTCAGTTTTTGCTATAAGAGGGCAGACTGGAAGCCCCACAAGCAGCTAAGGAGAGAGAGGAACAAGTCAACACAGAGTAAGAAAGCCATCCTGCCTATGTAACAGAAGAACATAGGCAGTAACTTGCTGGAGCGGGCCCCTAGCCCTTCTAATCTAGCAGTCTGTTCTCAGTGGCCAACCAACTGCACAAGGAAGCCCGCTAGTCTCCCAGCAGATGGCCTTCAAAAGACAATCTCACTGCTATCAATAGCCATCGATCCCCATGACTTGGTCCAAACCTTTTTTGAAGCCAGCCATGCTGGCAGCCAGCACCACATCTCATGGTAGCAAATCCCAAAGTTTAATTACATGCTGTGTAACTTTGATCCTGTCCAGCTTTTGCCTCCCATCAAATGAGGACACCTTCAGAATCCTCCTTAGCTGGTAAGTTTCACATGGCAAGCATGATGGATTAAAATGGGAAAGCTCTTACAAGGCCTAGCATATTTCCAAGATACCCAAACATTTCTGCAACCATTCAGTCTCCAAAAAGCCTTAATGCAGATCAGGTTTCCCACCTCTTCCACTTGCAAGCTCATATTTGTGAAAACGCAACTCACCTGACAAACTAATGCTGCAGTTGTGGTTTTACCTACTCCTGGGGGCCCAGAAAGCAAAGCTGCTTTGGGACTAGCGCCGTCATCTTTGCTTCCAAACTTACTGGATTTGACTGGGGAGAAAATGAAGGGAAGCTTTATCCAGCTATGTGACATAATGACAATGAGAGACAACGCCTAGTGTCTTTATTCAATACAATAATACAACTCCAAGTCTCACAGCCTAAAGAACAACTTGCACAGCCTCAGAAACATGCCATTCAATGCTCTCTTAAGATTCATCAGCTTGATAAACACAGCCAAGAAGCTTAGTAGTTGTAGCCAAATATCCAGTTAAGAAAATGTTGTAGTTGTAAAGAAAGTTCCTTCTCTGCATTCTTGTTACAAGTTGCCACCAGGCCAAAAATGATTAACAGGGTGTGCATAGATATGTGGGCTTGTCATTTTTAAGGACTTTTGTGCAAACCTGGAGTGAGTGATTCAAATGTTTGAAATTTCTTCTACTGATACTATTTTAACCATGGGATTAAACATTAATATCTGAGAATATTAGTCTATAATCTATGCTAATCTAGTCTATGCCCTGTTGAAATCATGCCATTTTAGGTTCGGGGAGGGTCTGCTATGTTAAATGCCTCCCATTTTAAAAGTATGCATATACAAACCAGCAGCTTAGAGAGAAAATTACCCACACTAGTTTTCAAGGATTTTTTATTTTACCTGAGGAAGTATTCAATCTTATTTTAGATTTTCCAGATTGGGATGTAGCCTCATAGACAATCCTGAAGCCTCATTTTTTTTTTAAATACAGTGTTTGAGGAAAAAAGGATTTAATTTACAGCCGAACATCAACTGGTAATCCAGTTTATAAGCTGCTTTCCCCATCTGACGATTCACAAATCTTGGGAAGGATGGCCCAGATAGTCTAGAGTGTCCTATCCTTGTTACAGGGAATCAAGATACTCTAAAAAAGGTCAAGTGCCAGAAAAATACAATTACCCTGTTTGTCTTCTAAAGAATTCTTGTGCCAGTTTTTAAGCCAACGTAAAAGTTTATTAGCACAGCTATGGTCGCCTTGTTGTCCAATGATACTTCTGAGAGATGTGGGCTTGTATTTGTCCACCCACAATAATACCTCCCCTCCACCATTATTTGTTTCACGAACTGAGCTCTTTTCATCCTTTGGAACTTGCTTTTTGTCCAGGAGTTTCTGGTCAAAATCCAGCCCCCTCCTTACTGCCCCAGCTTCCTGTTTCACGGATTTAAAAGAGTCCACATCTTCTGGAAGGAACCTTTTCTTATGAGAGTTTGGCTTTGCCGGGCTCGGTTTCCATTTTTCAGCTTTAGTTTCTGGGGAAGTTCTTTCGCACTTGGACTTTGTTTTCTTTGCCTTCAAAAAGAAAAGGAACACACAGGCTGGCCTGAGAATGAAGGCGATTCCTTGCAAACTGATGTGATGGGCAAAAAACAGGAAGTCAGAAACTATGGAGCACAACAACTGGAATCACACGGGATGTTCAGCCAAAACCAAACATGCCAAATTACTGCTCAGCATGAACTCAATCACTGCGATTCTTAGGAATCCTAGAATTCTTTGGAAACTTATTAGGAGGCTCATTCAATGACATCAGTCATGCCAAGCCAAGAGAATTCTTCCTCCCATCTCCCTCTGCAAGCACCAGATTTATTCTGGTTCACAGTTACTTAATTTATAGAGGGAAGCAACGAGGACTAGCATCTGTTCTATACACACCAGAGAGGCTATAGCAGAATGCCCTTATGGGAAATTTACATTTTAAATACTTGTTTAGCTTACTTATTTAGAGCCCACATTCTTTGATTCCAACCTCCTCTTCTCTCAGAGATTTATCCAGCATAAGTTCAATTCTAAACTGGCACATTCTTTCCCATGCTCCCCTCCCAGATTTCAATCAAACATCATACCATGACTTAGAAAGAAAGGAACAAGTCTTTAGCCCATGACCCATCTCCTCCCCCTTTATTTGATTTATACCTGGCCCTTCTGCCCTGGTGAGCACATAAAAATGAACTTCAGCACCTCCACCAGGTCTGGACTTAATTTCACCATGTTATCTTTCTTTCAACCCATGAACAAACTTAGGTACTATTCAAGAAACCAACTACGTGAAATTGGATGGTAAAGAGCAATACAGTTGACAGAGTATTATTTTTAAACCCCAAATAACACCACCCTCCACCCCATGGTTTAATACAGGCATTGAAGAACATGGGGAACAAGATGGAACCTCTGGGATGCTACAAGTCAATAGCCTAGGTGTCAAATAATCCTGCAGCACCATTGATAGGTTCAAGGAGTGTATCCACACCAGGTCCAAAGCACCTTTCCTGCTTCCAATCCAAATATCTTCATATCCCTACTTTCCATGGATGCACAAAAGCACATAACCTCCTACAGAACAGCTATTTTGTTGGCTGTGAATCTTCTTCCCCAGCACAATTGTGGGAATGGCAGAAAGTAAAAATGTTGAGCCAGAAATCAATCCAACGTGTACCAACCTCTGTTTCAGCCGCTATTTCATACTTGGACCTCTTGCCTGGTGTATTTCGTATCAGGTCAAATAACCCATCTTCATCAATAACTTTTGTCCCTAAGGCTGATGCCTGTAACAAAAACTCAGATTGATGCTAACTCACATTTACACAGTGTTTATGTGTCAAAAAAAAATTGTAAAGACAAATACAAAGGAGGGACTTCTCTCAGTTATACAAGTAAAATGTACCTGAAATCAAACAGTTTCTACTGAAATTTCCCCACTTCATCTCTAAACAGCAGCCTCCAGTTGAAACAGAGGAGGGCAGAACTGGCTTAACAGAAAACAAGGGGCAGTGACAGGACTGGGGGTGACAGGAAGTAGCCCTGGGTAAAATACCTTTCAGGGATCCTCCCCCCGCCCAACAGCTGTACTGCTTTCTTTCCTTCCATATGGCTCTGACTATGTGCCCTCCTTATCTTCTCCCCTACTTAGAAGAAAATGCCTTTTTTCCCTTTGTCCCTGAAACCCACTGTTTGTGAAGCCATTGTTCAAATGGATACATGCCACTCAAGCTAATGCCCATCTACGCGGCTACTCCCAAAAGACAGCTCCAAAAGAAGGCTGATGAACTGAGCCTGGGGAAAAGTTTAAACTTGTAATCCTAAATTCACCTGTTTGGAAGAAAGGGCCCTTGAACTTAGTGAGACTTGCTTCCCAGACAATACCCTTGTAATTTCCTCAATATGCTTGGCTTTGTAGCGCCATTCCCTTTGCTTCTGACTTATTCAGTCATGCTTGGATTCCCAGTCTTTCCTAGTGCCTTCAGAAAAAAAGACTGTAGGCCAATGCTTCCCATCCTCAGCCACTTTAAAATGCACGGAGTCCAACTCCCAGAATTTCACACATCTTAAAGCTGCCAAGATTGGGGAACCACCATTCTAGGTGCAACTCATGTAAATGCCAAAAGATTATTCCATTCAACGTAGCCTTTTGTCATACTCAGTGGACGTCGACAATGTTTAATGGTCACAACTCCTGCTTTGAGGTCAATCCTATTAGTAGGGCCACCAGGGTAAGCCTGTAATCCAAAGACCTCTGGGGGTTCCCTCCAAGCAATAGTGCTGTAACAGCCAAGCTTCTCATATACTATAGCAGTTAGAGAAAACCTCCCCAGAGAAGTAACCATCACCTTTATTCTTCAGGAAGCCTGATGTCTTCTAACACACTACAATGAACCGCTCCTCCAAAAAGGGAATTTTAAAAAGTGTGGGGGATTATTATTACCTGGAAAATGTAGGGGGGCAGAGAAGAGACGGTTCAGGAAGACAGAGATATGGGACAGAGGCCACTAACTAGGATTAAGGAAGGAGGTTCTATGATCAAAACACTCAGGACCCTGGTATCTGGAATTACTTACCTTTTCACACTTGGACATGCCACAGTCACGACCTTTAACAAGGTAGTTTGTTTTCTTGCTGATGTTCCCAGTAACCTTTCCCCCATAGCGCTCAATCAGAGACTTGGCCTCATCACGTTCAATAGATTCCAAGATTCCTGTAATCACAAACGTCATACCTTCCAAGCAGTTTTCACCACCCTAAAAATCAAAAAGGGATGACAAGTACTAAGTTTATGGTGCCAGATTCAAAGCCTAGAGACACACGTCTGAGAACATTAATCAACACTCACCAAGAGGATGCGCTACCATTCTGTATCAAATTTTTGACTTACTTGAGGTATTTCTTTAGAGCCGAGTGCCTTTGGACCTTCTCGATTGAGGAAGTTTCTATAAGCCGTGTAATTTGTTCGCTTCTTTTCAGAGTCCTCAGGACTTACAGACTTCAAAAGAAAAAAAATCCATTGCATAGGCAATTCTCAGATTCTGTCCTGAGCAATCTTGGCAAAGGAGGATGTATTAATAAAGAAACAAACCCAACTACATAGGGATACTTTCTCCCTAGTCTGTCAGAGTCCATCCTTTTAACTTCTACATTCAACACTTTTTCATCCTGAAGCATTTACACTAAAGAGATTCAATGTGCTTTCACCCGCAATAGAGTTACTGAACCACATTTGAGCATTTACTGTATCTACATGGACTCTCTGGTCAATGATTATGCATCTATCCATACTGATCTAATATGTCTTCCACGTGGACTACACCATCCTCTCATCTTTTATGGCTCCTGTCTGCCAGCACATCCCCATCTCCCTTCAATGCATTTATTTCTATTGACTTTTCCAGCAGAACAGTAGCATGGTCCACCAAAACCAGCCTGCTCCTGGATTATCCTACTGTGGTGATCGTTTAGAGAGAGAACAAAATATTTTAAACTGCAATGAGTCAATTCATTTAATACAGGGGCAAAAAAGCTTAATAAATAAATGAAGTTGGTGTTGCACGTAGTGCTTCTTTGTTCAATAAAGCAATTGAATTACTTTGAAATGTAAAACATTCACTCCCTTTCTTACTTTGATACTTTCATGCTCCCAGATGAGGGGACAAAATACAGGAGGCTTAATTCACACGTTAGTGTATTTCTCTCTTACTTTCACTGAGTTTTATTTAAGGACAGATTTGGATCCACAATCTAGCCAAAATGTGCAAAAGGATCAAGATGTTGCCCTAATTCCAAGCCATTTCATACTGGAGGTGAAACTGACTGGCATTTCCTGCACTCCTGCCAATATGGCTTCTTCTTATTCACACTACGGTATGTAGTGAATGAGTCATCACCCCAGTACCCCTTCTGCCTGATCCTGCTAAGTCCTCAGATGAGGCAGCTAGAGAAACATGGAGCTTCAAGGAAAAGTTCCTATCTGAAGCCTAGAAAGCCACTTTCCATTTCCAGCACATCATAATACTGTGCTAGATACACAAATATTTTAAGACACACAGGAAGCCTCCTCAGACCAACGTCTAAGTGGGTGTCTTTTCCCCCCGAACAGCCACGCTTCTGTTATTTCCCTTCCAAATCTTTATTTATTCCGTTGGCCTTGGAGGGCTGCAAGGAGTGCAGCTAGACAGCCCAGTGATACTGCAGGTGTAGGCGGAGAGATGGGATTTTTTTAAAAACACAGAACAGATCTCAAGGTTTAATGCACATTATTTAAGGTTTAAAGAAACATTTCTTTCATTTAAATTCTACTGCCAAAAATTTTGCAGACTCCCTCCTGGTGGGTTCTGGAGAGTGCACAAATGGTGATGGGAAGATTTTATGCAGCCCGCAGAGGACCCGCTCCTGGTGTACAGGGTGTGGAACAGCTCTGCAGGTTTTAAGCAGAAGCCTTTCCTTCCCTAACCTGGACATGCCCATACTGAACTGGGAGACCTTCTGCATGAAAAATATGTGCTTCTACCAGTGAAGTACAGAACTTTCAGAGCCAGAAAACAAAATGCAGCTTCCTAATTTCTGTGTAATATACTGTATAACCTAGGACATGAATATAAGTTAAGTGTAGTGCTTATACTTCACTGTATTATCTCTATCTGTTAATAAAACGGAACTTAAACCTATTCCTCGGTATCTTTCAGTTATCTCACAGACATTCACGATTAATGATAATACCAACCAATATCTTTTTTTCAAGAATGCTTCTCAAACCTACCTTGGATTGTTCAGGCGAAACCTTCCCCTTTGTAGGCGTCTTGGCTTTGGGTGAAATTGCTTTTCCTGATGGGGTTACAGCTCTTTTCTTGAAGTTCTCTCCTTTTGGGGTCCCATTTTCAGTTTTAATAGCCTCTGCTTTTTGCTTGAATGCAGCTAACCTGGAGGGAGCCTTTGATGACACCCATTTATTCCCCAAATCCATCTCCTCCTTGGTAGAAGAAGATTCTGGGTGAAGATTCAACACTTTTACGCTTTCTGAATGAATCTGATCTTTTGCAGAATAAGGTTGTGAATCAAGGGCTGAAATGGCAGGTTTCGCTACAGAGAGAATGAGAGTTTTAAGTATAAATAAAGGTGACACAGAACCCATCAAAGTCTTTTTTTTTTTAAGTAATTACCTTTGTGAGCTTGTTTATTTTTTTCTGTTTCACCTGATTTTGACTGCTGAAATTCTTCTTTTCGAGGCTAAAATAATGAACAGACGTTGTGTTTTAATTTCATTTTGGTATCTTTGTGATGAAGTTATTACTGGCTGCAATTTCAGAACATCTCTGCAACAATGCCAGCAGACTGACACTTTTTCCCAAATCATCGAAGCAAAGCATTCAGCATTCAGTTTGTCACATTTGCTTCCCTTATACTAAACAAAATGTTAGTCCATAGCAAGTACCAGAATTCAGTCCAGACCCTGGGGAGCTAGCATATACCAAACTTCTTCATTCATCAGACCAGATGGGAAGAGGCGTGCAAGGGGAAGATGAAAATAGCCTGAAGTTTCATCTTCACTCATCTGTCCATCCCCCCCGCCCCCCCCAAAAGACAGGCCTACAAGCTATTGAAGAAACAGTGAACAGAAAGATAGGAGAACTTGATTTATAATTGCAGCCTTAGAAATACAAACAGCAGTGCAGTGAACAAGTTGCTTACACTTTTTTAAGTTATCAAAACATAAAAAATAGACTGAATCTTAGACTTCACTTTTTCATCATGGTGAATGTCCATCCTCACAGATGAAAACCGGACTGTTTTTCCCAGTATACCAAGATTAGATAGCCATGCTTTGAGATCAGGATGCAAAAAATCAATCCCTCTGTTTTCAAGAGATTTTTAGCATTATTACTTTTGTAGCCAATATGTCAGCAATTACTTCCAAGAGGGAGCACAAATAGTTTTCAGATATGCAGAATAGAGAATTGGAATCCAAGGTCTGGCCCAATGAAAGCAAGAATACTCAGTGGCCACTGATGATGAGGTGCAACCGACAAAGTTGGAGAATAACACTGCATTGCTAGAATCCTGCACGTTTGCTCTCAGTACTGCTACATTTTGCTCTGGTCTCATCTGTCTTACCTACACTGCTTCATTTTTCCCCCAAAGCTCATTTTCAAAGCTGCCTTTTCTCCCTGCTTTCAATAGCCTAATTCCAGTAGAAACAATGTTAAGAGGAAGCCTCCAGGTAGTTCTGGAGCTATTTCTTCAAGAAACCAACCAAAACTCAATCTGTACCCTGTAGCAAGTTCCGTTAATGACTTTCTGTGAGGAATATATAGCAAAATGAAATTCACTCCAGGCATCAAACTGCAGCTGATTCTGATACTGCCATCTATTTCAGTGCTATTTTAAAGTTTTAAAAAACTTTAAAAAAGAGAATGTTAAATGGATAAACCACAATAAATAAAACTAAAGAAACAGAGGTGGCCTCCTCTGACATTTTGACCATTCTACACAAATTGACCCAATGTCACACATCAGTTATACTATACACAAAGCAATTACTCCTGATTTACCTTTTTCTTTCTGGGTGTTTCATCCAACATAGCCAACGTTTGTGCAAATTCTTCATCTTCATGCAATTGCCTCTCCCACTGCAAAGAGTGCAAAACATATTACCAGACTTCCTGCCTGTTTCAACCAGCTGCAGGTCTGGCAGGAGAGAAAAAGAAGGGCATCTCTGTCTGTCCATCATCTTACTGTGGTTAGGCATAAGGAATACTGGGGAATCTCAGTACACTTTGTAGGATTCTGGGAAACGTACATTACCAGAACTCTTCCTCTGTCTTTAGTAATGAGGGCTTGTAAGTGGGTAGTCAGCTAGAACAAGGAAGCCCATTGGGAAGATGTTTGGGAGAAGAATTGGGCCCCATTTTGTCTCCTGGATCCAATTTAACTCAATGAGCTTGAGAAAGCTGTTTTCCCTCTTTTCTACAGACACTGGGTGGGGAAGATACCCCATCTTATTTGGAGTCAGTCAAGGAAGATTTAAATTTAGCAATGAACATTAAAACCAACTGTTTAATCTACACTACTCTGCAACCAGTAATATTCAGCCAATATTTAGAAAACAGATAAATACCAGATCCATAGGTTTTAACCTTATCTATTTTCAAATCAGAAACTTCCCAACATTCATTATCACGTAGAAGCTCTACAGTAGAAGAGAATATGTGTAGCTCAGGGTTGAACTGTGGAGCCCTTGAAGTTCTCTGAGCTTGGTTGCACTGAAGATCTTACCTGGCCAGGTAACGAAACATTTGCCAGAAAACAACCAAGCTCAGAGAACCCCAAGGACTCCACAGAATCTCTACAGCTATTCCTACTTTAAGCCAACATTATCTCAAATTACAAGGATAGCTATCTATATAATACCTTGAGAAAGTTATGAAGCAAACAAACAAACAAACAAACAAGGTTTGGCAATCTTTTTCATCCTACAGGCTGTACTTTGTCAGTGTGTTTTGCATGGTGGGCATGAGGTGTGATAAATAATATTGCTAGAAAGGTTGGAGCCAAAAGTTTTGGAGGGTTTTTTTTGCATTTGGAGAGAAGGTACCCCCTTTGCCCCCTAAAACTATGAAAATAGGGAAAATCAGTCCAATATCTGGGAGGAGGGGAAGAAAAAACTTCTTAAGATGTGCATTTCAGCCTTTCAGATCTCCCTGAAGTTTAAAACGTTTATGGAAAAAAAAAAAAACTTGTGACCACCCTGGAGAAACGCCATGGGCTGCAAAGGATTACATACCCCTTTCATGGGATATTGGACTGCAAGCCACATACCCCTGATAGAAATGAATAAACTAACAAAATTCTGAAATGCATTCGTTTCCTGGTGCAAATATATGACCAGATCTTATTTTCAATAATTCAGTTGAACACACTGAGAAAAATTAGTCAATTTTTCCTTCATTTTGCTTCTTAGCACAATACGGCATCCTGTTATTATCCATTATTGTTTTGTTTTGTTTTGTTTTTAGAGGAAAGCTAACCTGTTTTTGCCAAGTGACGTTGGGAATATTACCCAAATCTAATCTTTGGCCAAGAGTAACATCAAAACCTGCCTCCGTGCACAATTCAGACAGATAACATTATTAGCAAGAATCCCACAGGCTCTACTTTAATATGATCATAAGCCGCAGGAGGTTATTCAGCTCAATAGGTAGCATTAATCTTTCTTTTTTTAGTATGAAATTGAAGCCAGAACAACAGTAACTGTGGAAATCAGACCAAAAAATGAAATATGGACACACACATCTTTCTCACACACAAACACACAAACAATCTTTCCAAATGATCAGTTTGACAACTCTGCCAGTATCTTAACATCTGAAATGAACAAAGAATATTTCTTTTTCTACTATGGCTTTTCTACCACATGCCTATCAAAAATTGAAGCTGTACTACAGCAACTTTCTTCCCCACTACATAATTGGATTAAAAAGAATACCAATTTGAAAATAAAATTGCACATTATAATAACATAAAACTGGGAGACATATTCAAAACAATAAAACCAATTCATCCTCAGGAGGTAATGACCATCTCTAACCCAAAACTGGCTCATATCAACTTCCAGGAGAAGTTTCATATTTTACAAACTCTTATTTCAATGCATTTGCAGTTAATACAGGATATTTATACTAAAGCCCAAGATTACTCCAAAGGAGTTAAATTCACAACCATCCTGATGTCACACTGATTCAAATTTTGGACACTACACCACCTCAGATATAGTATCTTCTGGAAGTTATGGCCATTTTTCCTAGGCCATAACTAGGTTTAAATATTCTAGAATCCATGCATGCACTTCCTTATCCTTCACTTATTCTCTCCTGCATACTATCAAAAGGACTTGATTCCAGAGTCAAGCAAAATTATATAAGAATTACAACAAACTTGAGAACACAGAATTTAAAAAAGCATTTTTCAGGGGTTCCTGTTAATATTTTCTTTATCAGCAACTATTATTCTATGAGCACTGCTCCCAAGTAACATAAGAGATCAGTTTAAACTGTAGTTTACACCCCAGCAATGATATTTCAATTTTGAACAATTAGAAGGATTTAAAACTTCTTAAGGAATTAGGTAAAATAACAAGTTATAAAATTAATCTGAATGTATCATGATTACTGGAGTTTAATTTACAAAATTGCACTGAAATAGCAAGAACACATGCTCTTCCTCAGAAAAGAAATATCAGTAAATTACTATGGGTTTTGGAGAAGTTGAAGAATTTAGCAACAATTAATTATAATGAATTGTTTTGAGGAACTGAGGGAAAAATTACACAGTGGAGGCAGTTAAGCATTTCTTACATGAAAAGAATTTACTGATAAAAATGAATGTGGTATTTTGTGGCACATGGATTTTAGTGGCCTGGCCTGGCTGCTTTTCTGTTGGCGTGTGCCAGCCGTTGGGGTGAGTAAAAGGAGAAAAAGAAGCTCAGTTCTGGTCTTGAAGGGCGCCTGCACTGTCACAAGGCCTGATGAACTGACCCGGTTGCTGGCCAGGGCTGGCGTGGGGAGATGTCGAGACAGCAGTCCCACTGGTCCAGCCTGGTATACAGATGTTGGGGACTAGAGCCCTGCGGGGACGCCCACCTCCTCAGTTGCTGGGGGACAGGCAGCAGCTTCCTCCAAGACTCAGGAGGAGGGGATCGGCTATCGGTGGCCAAGTCCTGGTCTCTGGGGAAGGACTGGGCAGAAGACTCCAAGAGAGGCTCTTCCTGCCACAGAGAAGCAGTCGGTATTCAGCTGAGCAGGAGAAGGTGAAGCTATGCAGAGCACCCTACCGTAAATTCCAGCCCATTCCTTTCTTTTCACTCTCTTTTGTCAAGCCAAGAAACAGGAAGGGAGAGAAAAAAGGGGAGGAAGCAGGAGAGATAGAGGGGGATCTTCTGGGAGGGAAACTTAGAAGGAAATCTGACCCTGGGTCAGATACTGCGCTGTGTATACCTGTTGTAAATCCCTGCTGTAAATAACATCACTGAGTATAGTAAAAAGAATAAAAGCCATATGTATGTATGTATGTATGTATAAAAGATACAAACACTAAATTAGTTGCTAACTGAAAGAAGGTGAAGCACTTCCCTGTGAGAAATGGTATTATCAAGCAACAATGCATTGCTGTTTAAAATATATTTTAGTTATTTAGTTATTTATGGCCACCCATCTCATACAAACGACTCCAGGCAGCAAGCAGAGGTAAATCAATCAATATAATCATTAAAAATGTCAATACACAACAAAAATAAAAAGAATGTCAGCCAAGCATCAACAATAATGAAACACAAACAACAATATAATACACAATGCAGCACCAGAAATAAATGAAACCCTACGTTCATTAAACTCCAGATTACAGGAGGGAGCAGCTAACAACGTTCCCACCCCCAAGGCATGTTGAAAAAGCCAGGTTTTGATGGCCTCTCTGAAAATCCTGTATTAAACAAGGCAACTTCACTTTTGAACACAAACATTTCATCATAACTGGCCAAGACTATCACGGACAGCCAGTGAGTCTGGGTCACAAAAAAAGTACCTGTATCAAGGGGATGTTTAGGGATTGAAGGCAGGAAAACAGGGCAAAATTCTCTGGCCTGGAAACAACCTGTGGCTATGCAGACATTCCCAATTTCTGAAGGTTTCAGAGTCAGAGGGAATGAACACTTCTCCTAACTTTAGGTATCAAAATCAGCATCAGCATGTTCAAAGTCTTCCCAAAGGCCAAATGCATCCATGGTGGGACAGAGGAAGATGCACACTCTTGCACTCTTATACAGATGTGTGTGGCCAGATCAAATACGTCTGTCAATTTGATTTGCAAGGGAAGTTATCTTTAGACAGTGTACCTTTCACATCATTTTAAGTGACTAATTCTGTGCTAGTTTTGAATTACTATTTACGATATGGCTCTGTCTTTATTGTATCTTATTTTTGAAATGACAACCAGCTGGAGCTTCTACCAAGCTGGCAGAATAAATATTTAACAAGCAGTAAAAGTGAAGCAGCATGAAAGAGAAAGTCAAAGAGCCAGATACATGTCCATGATAATCACAACATTTATTTTCACTCATTATCAAGTCTACTCCTTATAGGTGACATTCAGAATTTGTCTTCAAAGCGTCAGGGTTTTCTTGTAAGGCTATAAAATTCTTGACTGAACAGTTTCAGAGATACCTAGTTCCACCACAACAGTTCTGACTAGTGCAGCAAAGCCACAAAACTGATATAAGTTATGGCAACAGTCAAGTCAATTAGAAAGCCTTCGACAATACATCAATTAGTTAGCACAATATTTTGCCATGATCTCAGCTCTGTGAAGTCGAGTACCGCAGGGCATGGTTAAGGAAGCAAGAATCACACAGACGCAGTTTTAATTCAAGAGAAAGTACAGAATCCTTGAATCTGTAATCAGAATCTCCATTCCTCATTTATTAGTGAGTTTGTTATGGCAGAATCTCCTAGAACTATTTGAATCTCTTCTCCCTGTTTTGTTTTGTTTTTGCAGCCTGGATCAAGCTACCTTCTTTACTCCCACCTGTTGACTGTTTGAACGTAACAACCGTTGCTTTCTCTGCTTCCTCACAATATCTCACACACTTGCAGGAACATACAGGTAGTCCTCACTTAACAACCGTTATGATGGTCTTGGGAAAAGTGCTTTATGTCCCCCGCAGTCACGTGACCACGATTTGCAACCTTTTTTACAACAGTCATTAAGCAAATCACCACAGTTGTTAAGCGAATCATATGGTCATTAAGCGAATTCCGGCAAAAAATGTCCATTTGGGAAGCTGGATTCGCTTAACAACCATGTAATTCGCTTAACAACCACGGTGATTCACTTAACAACTGTTGTAAAAAAAAGTCATAAAATCAGCTCCGATTTGCTTAACGACCAAATCGCTTAGCAACCTAAATGCCAGTCCCTATTGTGGTTGGATAGCAAGGACTACCTGTATCTAGAAAGGAATGCTATTGGTGGATGCTGTTCCTGGAGACTTTTATTAATTCTTAAATTCTTTAACCTATTTCATTGGACTGAGGGGCCATTTAAGCAAGTATGGAAGTGCTACAGAGGGAGGAAGGGAAAATCAAAATGTTCCTGTTTTTCCCTCATACTCACATTTATTCTGCCAGAAGCTGCACTGGACCTCAGTTCTATCCATAAATGGAAGATCCCTTCTACTAACAGAAGCCCAGCTTGAATGCTAGTCAAATAAACCCAAAGTAGGAGTTTTAATAAATAGTTTCACTGATCCATAAAATTAAGATGTGAGTACACTGAGGATACTATAAGTCGCTCTTGAAAAATATGCTTCTAGGAAGAATTATGCAAACGTGGAGAATGAAGGAGGGAGAATGGCATACAAATGGGGGAAAAGCTAAATAAATGGGGAAAAAAGATTGAATAGGAATCCTGTATTAAACAGGAAAGTATGTAAGACTAGAGAATTATACCATGTTACCTCTGTATTCTCTTCGAGCTGTAGTTGTTTGGCAATAGCCTCATCATTGATGGTGGAGTCTCTGCTTTGCGAAGGCTGCATCACATAGAAAGAAGAACGACAATGAGCTTGCTCTGATGCTCATATTTACATTCTACCTGTAACCCAGTTAAGGCAATAATAATTTAAGGTTTATTTGTGGTCTTCTGTTCTCTACTAGACACATGCTCAGAGTGTCGCTCTCATTTCCTAAGAACCAAGGCCTAACTAAACAGGACCACAGAACATTATAGTCTCTATTCTGTTTATAACCATATATGAAGTAGGAGAATTTCTGGCTCTTAAGTAGGAGAAGAAGTAACATTCTTGCATTACTCACTTCTTTTCGTTTGCTTGATACCAGCTTCTTATCTGACCGTTGAACACTACTAGTCCCAAAGTAATCAATTACAGATGTTGGTGTCAGTTTCATGGGAGATAAGGGTTTACTTTTTACTTTCGGTTTGGAATCTGTCTGGGATATTCCTGTTGTTCCTTGATTAATCTTCACCGATGTTATATACTGTCCAGCTTTCTGGGTGGCTTTCTTGTGCACAAAGTCCTCATCTTCATCTGAGTGCCATAAACAAAATGAAGGGACATTTAATTATTCCCCAATACTAAGACCTCAAGTAAGGTAATCCTAAAACTGTATTTTCTGTTTCTATGTTTGCAACATTTTTAAAAAATAGCAAGTGAAAGCAACTGATCAGGTCATACATTTCACAGAGAAGTCTCAATCTAGTTCATACTTTCCTGAGTATAGATCCCTCTGCTAAAGGAAAAAATCATTTCTATTTGTTCAAATAGATTCTGCTTTTAAAGGCTGATTTTGGGGGAGGGAGGAGACTCGGGGGCAAAATGCTCCTTCACAAAATGTTTGATATTTAGCAGCTGACTATAAGAAGAATTCCTAGCAATGCAAACTGCAAAAGCCATCCTGTATGGAGTTTAATTTGAGACACAGGATTAAACATTAAATATTCAGGATTCAGTATTTATGCCTCCACGGAGAGAAGTAAACAACCATCAATGACATCTCTAACAGCAAACGTTTACCAAAAACAAATTTTCAAAACTGGCAGTCAGTGTTCTTGGCAGAATCGTTTTTGTTCTGAAAATGAGTATTTTCAGTTCCAACTTGAAATATTACAATGCCTTTGTTCAGTCATTGCCCTACAGTCAATGATATATGAAGAGGATTTTACACTTTCCTACAGCGATGTTAAAATTGCATGCAATTCTAGCGTGTGTAATTCAAGTAACATGGTTATAGCTCTCTTAAGGGAAATGTCAAACTCTAGGCTATAATAAAAACATAAAATTGATCCATTGAATCTATTTAGACATTAGTCCCATTTTTCACTCTAGAGAAATTTAAACAAATATGAATAGGCCTTCAAATCATTGCAACAGCAATCTTAACCACTGCCTCCTGCTATCTTTACATTATATTTTTAAAATATTACTTGCTAGCACTGTGATTAAGCCCTTTTGGCAACTTTCATCAGAATAGACAGTATAACCTTTGTGCTTTTTTTTTTTTTTAACATTAAGTTTCTCAGAAGAGCTAAAATGTAAACAACACATTTTCTAAAGATTTGGAGCTGGTATTACAGTTGAGATGGGGTAGAAATGCTTCCAAGAATTAATTCTCTCACACACACACACACACACACACACACACACACACAGCCTTTCTTCATTGCAACATCATCAATTAAAGCATTAACTTTTGCGTACCACTTTCCAAAATACTTAGCTAATTCTGAACAGTTTATGCATACAAGGATCAATTTATTAAGTTCCAAATATCTGATGATCATTGTGCAAGCCTAATTTACTGGAATAAATTTATTTATTGCAAGGGAATTTATTGAGATATTGTTATAGGAGTTGCATACCTTGTAAGTTAAGAATAGAAACAGCCCTAGGAAACTCTTTAAGAACAACAAAAATCACTCCCTATGATAATGCACTGTTCTATATTCTTTATTTTGCTGTCCCTGAAAGGGATAAAAGGCAATTCTCAAGGCAATAAAAATAACTGAATGACTGAAAGGAAATGAGAACCTACAGACAAGAATATTGGTCTACACACATCTCTCATTCACTCATTCTTTCTTTTCCTTTTCTAGCTTATCCTATTAAGCCCACCTATTTGCAATGTAAATGTATTTGGCAGCAACTAAGAGATTCTGGTTGATCTTGAAAAAGCTAAGCATGGTCAAATCCGAGCTCCAGAAAAGTCCAGGATTACAGGTTAGTCAGTGATGTTGAAAAGGGGGCATATATACATTGTATGTGAATTGTATAGAATTACAGACTTGGTGGCCACCATTTAGACCACTGAGTCCAACCTGTTACTCAACAGAGGATCTCAAATTAAAGCATTCCAGATCCATAGCTGCCCAGCCTCCAGTTGAGCACATGTACTGAAGGGGAGTCCACTCTCTCTCTGAGCCACTGGTGCCACAGTCAAATGAATCTTGCTGTTAATAAGGTTTTTTTTCTAATGTTCAATTGGAATCTGCCTTCCAGTAACTTAAATCCATTTTCGTGAAGGGTTTTTTTTTTTATTCAGAATGTTCTGTTTGCAGATACAAGTGTAACTTGCTCAACCACCTGGGATATGTTAACTGCATAAAAGTAAAATGCAAGCTAACTATGGCGTCATTCTCAGCAAATGCAAGTATGTCTTGAACAAATACAAATATGTTCTAAATATGTCCTAAAATGAACATGTGTTTCACTTCTATTTATTTACAACCCAAATCAAAGACATGCCTTATTCGTGCAAGCAATCAGCCTGAGTGAAACAGAGCAATTGTTTAGATTCATAACCAATAGTTGTATTGCTGAATTGCTACAGCTTACTACATTATTCATTTCCAAAATGTTTGGATCAAAATGTGGTAATAAAACACTGTTATTACTTGGGCAGAGAATGATGGATACCCAAAAACCACAGGAAAAAAATCCCTTCCCTTGTTTTGTTTAACCAGAGACTGGACTGCCAAGATGCTTTATTTTGGATTCCTAATTTGAAGCACTGGCCTTAAAACCCTCAGTGGTCAATTCCAACTCTAGAGTACTATGAAATATTGGGTATATCTTTTATAGTATTGTTTTAATTTCAAATTCCTATATTTCTCTAGGGATAAGTTTCATTCATTTTTTTTCCATGATGATCCCTGTTTGTATTCCTCAAAACAGTTTGAAATCTGCTAAAAGAAAACTCTAGTTATTGGGTGGATTAAAAATATAATGCATAGATTACCAAAGGAAGTTAAAATACATTACAGTACATTGAACAATCAGAGAAAAACTCCTGACACTAGGAGAAAACCCAAAGTTTCTGCTATTAAAATGCACTGGAATACTGGGCAGAGTTCAACACAATATTAACAAGTCATTTTTTACAAATAGCACTCAAGGTCTCATATTACACTAAACAATGGAACAAGGGAGTTACTAAATAGGCTGAGCAACTGGATGTCTCCCAACATTATGCTAATTAACTTGGGACTGGTTAGCAATGAAAATATTTATAAGCCTATTCTCTCTTGGACACTCAACCTAAAAAAGAAAAGAGAATTGTTTGACCAAACACAGTAACGATGGAAAATGTTTTATATGGAGTAAAATGATCAACCAAATGACCTCAACAGCACTGTCTATCTATATTGAGAAATAACTGCAGTTTTATGTATGATCTTCAGCCTCTTTAGAATAGGTTAATGGACAAAAGAACTGCAAAAAGTAAAAACTAATAAGCACAGGAAAGAAAGGAAATATAAAAATTGTGCCTTAAAACAAAAATATTTCAGATGCTATTGGAAGCCAATTAATAACTACATTTAATGTAACAAATCATTCTATGAGCAAACAGTTTGAAGACTGTGGTTTAACAGTTTTTAAGGTTAAAGCTTTTAGGTTTAAGTGGTCAAACTAAGAACTTCCCATCAATCCATTATAGACTTGAAGAACATACACACATACTTACACACAGGGAGAGAACTGTTATCTTTTGAAGTACTGTAAAAGCTTCTGTAAATTCTGTAGCACAGCACTCAGTTCATTTAAATGCAAATTTTAAAGAAAGCTTTAAAAAGCACAGAAAATAGGAGAGAACAGGTTTATGTTTGAATTTGTATGGAACAGCCATGGACCAACATTATCATCAATACCTATTTGAAAGCACTCATTTATTGTTGCTTAGCATACTGTCAAGATCTTAACTTCAGAAAACTATCATGCTATATATTCTTTTGAGCTACCTACCTAATTTATGGAAATTGATGGGTGGAATGGGTGGACAACAGACGTAGATTCTCTGCACCCTTCTTATTGCTAAAGGGTTTGTCCTTCAACATTGGAGAGATAAATTCAGGCCCTAATTACTCAGTGGATTCAAGATCTAAAGTTACTTGTGAGTTATGAACGGGCTGCTTACCAATGGAGATTGAGTATGTATGATTATAATGAAATATAGTAACCTTTTATTGAAACTATTGGGTAAAATTTTAGGTGCATATACACAGGTATGAGAAGACTTTTGTATACATATTTGTTGTTTTGTCTTTTTTTCCCTTTTATCTTTTGTAAATTGGTTAAATCCTCTTTCAAAGCTGTCTAAGCTCATAGACATCTTACATCTTGTGGCAACAAATTTATTTTTCCTGAATCTCCTGCTCACTTCATTCTTTAACACCGAAAAATAGGAGAGGAACTGCTCCATCTAATTTTTCCATCCAGCATGTTATCACCCAATCACATCATAGATTTAAATAGCAGAAAGAACTCTTAGAAGTCATGTTATCCAATGCATTATTTCAGAGCACAGCAAGCAGCTACAGCAATTCTAAAAGTTGGCAGTCTTGACTCCAATTTTTAAAAATCCATCTTAAAATACCCTTCCCACTTATTCATCTTTTCTAAACTAAAATATCCCAATATTTTAGCTTTTATTTTTACAGAGTATCAAAAATTATCATTTATTTCATTTATATCACACTTTTTTTGCACGTCAACAGTACTGTCTCTGAAATGTAGAAGTGGAATGTGTTAGACAAAAAAAGGCAATCAGATTTGACAACAGTTTGAAAACCAAATAATTAGAATTGAATAAAATACTGCTGCTTTAAATATAGTTGCATCTGTGAAATAATGGACCAACTTGATTACCAACTTCAGATATAATGGAGAGTAAGAATCTGTAGCTTCAAGTATCATCTCACTGTAACAAAGACAAGACTTATAATATTCAGCAATAGCGCAGAGTAAGTGACCACCAAAAGTAGTTCAGATATTGGTCCCATACCAAGTCCTGAACTTGTTTAGATTCAGCATTTATGTAAAAGCTATCAACAACACATCTGGAAAACAATGCCTCCAATCAGCCATCATGCCTTCAGTGTAATTAAGTGCTCAGGACAGTAAAATATTCTGCCCTGGAAATAGATTCTTTCACATCAACTAGGGTCTAGATTCAAGGCCAAGACATATCTATTGATTTGTAGCAGGCACACAGCTGAAAATAATGTTGATTGTTTTTCAAAACATTGCTGAGAACCAGTAGACATAATCAACTACATGTTGATGATCAGCCTGCATGTCAAATTAAGTAGTTAACCGACAGGTAATTTTTCTTATCACTAGATAAAAATACTCTTGCTTCACAACTGACCTTGACCAAAGTTTTCTTACATATGTACAAATCCACTTCCAAGAGCTCAAGGCAGCTTACAGTCAGACAAAAGAAATAATAAAGTGGATAAAAACAATACATCAGTAACTTTCCATCTTACCTAGCTAAGATAGGTGGCCCTTTTATCTCATTAAGGTTAAAATACCCTGCAGAACAGTAAGTTCTTCAGTGTCTTCTTAAAGGCCAAGAGGTTAGGACACTCTTTATCTTGGAATGCAAGGTATTACAAAGCGGGTAGTCAATCACTGAAAAGGCACTTGAGAAACCAAGAGGTTTGCTGAGATTTGCAAGGGAAGAGAAGCCACCTGAAGGCAATCTCACCCAGCATCGTTGCCATCTCAGATTGCCATTTCAGCAAGGAATGCAACAGAGCTGCCTGCAAGATTGCTGCAAAATTCCCCACACACCCCTTGAAAGCACAAAGGGACCATGAGACTCCCTGGAGAATCATCATAGCCTATCTACAACCCTTCTAGAGGCAAAGCAAGCTAATGAAACCTACATGTGCAGGATTCAGATCTCCCAGGGCAAGACCATGGTCTCCACAGAAACAATGAATGCCCAAACCCATCCCTGTCACTAGGGAATGGGGATTAAAATACCACAGGACCAAAAGGAAATGGAGGACTCCACTACAATGCAGCAATTAAGATTCAACAGCTCAGGCAGGGCTGGGCAACAGGGCAGTCAATGTAACAACAGCAATCCCACCTTATCTCTAAGGCTCAGTGTAGCAAATACCCACCCACCTGTGAGTCAGTGCTTCTGGTCACTTTAAGAGTCTCAGGAACAATCATCCCCCCACCTCCTCTCCAAACATGGCACTAAGGGTGCTGTAACCTCCCATTTAGATTACTGCAACATGATCTACATGGGGCTGCCCTTGAGAACATTTGGAAGTTTCAACTGGTGCAAAATGTGGCTGTGCAGGTAGTAAATGGTGCTGGATATATGACACATGTAACACCACTACTATGGGAGCTGCACTGATTATCAGTACAATTCAAGGTGCTGGTTGTCACCTTTAAAGTCCTGCATAACTTGGGACAGGGTTACCTAAGGGACTGTGTTCTACTAATAGTTTCTGCCTGCCCAATTTGGTCTAGTAGATTGGGGATGCTGCGGATCCCGTCAGCCAAGGAATGTCAGCTGGTGGGGACTAAAGACATGCCTTCTCAGCAGCAGCCCCTGCCTTATGGAACACTCTTTCCTTGGAGCTCAGGATGGCCCCAACCATGCTAAACTTTCGTAAGGCTTTAAAAACCTGGTTACGTGCCCGAGGCTGGGGTCCCGAAAGTGTTAAGGGCCCCATTACCTGGGTGCACTGTTGATTTTTATGTAATGTTTATGATAACTGTCAGCTCCCTATATGCATACTTTGTAATTGTTTTAATGGTTTTAATTATTGAAATTGTTCGCCACCCAGAGTCACTTGGATTGAGATCGGTGGCTATAGAAATTGCATAAATAAATAAATAAATACCCAGGAACCTGGTGGACACAGTTAAAATCTTGCAGTCTTAAAAGGTTTTGAAACTGGCACAAGTTTCTAGATATCCAGGTCAGGGGAAAGAACAAAAAGGTCTTAGAAATTCTAAGAATGTTATAAGCTATCTTTGTTTAACAGGCCATAATAACTAGCTTCACACAACACTCTTAAGCCAGAGCCAAACCAATCACATTACAGGTCAGTAATATATGCTCAAAAATGAACTCTACTGACTCAGTGGAACTTATTCCCAAACCTGCAACTATTCAGATAGGGCAAAAGTAAACTGACATCTATACTTTTATCTTATTCCTGTACTGTAATCTGCAAAAGAGCTATATCCAATATATTGACTCATTTCTTCTTTGACTTTAGACTACGATCAACATACAGTCAGGTCCAGAAATATTGTGACATCGACACAATTCTAACATCTTTGGCTCTATACACCACCACAATGGATTTGGAATGAAACAAACACAATGTGCTTTAACTGCAGACTGTCAGCTTTAATTTGAGGGTATGCATATGCAAACTGTTGTAATTCCTACACCGTCTGCAACGGATTTGCAACCAAGTATTAAAAAGGGAAAGTTTGATTTATGATTATTATTCTGTCCCATTACTTTTGGTCCCTTAACAAGTGGGAGGCACATATGCAAACTGTTGTAATTCCTACACCGTCTGCAACGGATTTGCAACCAAGTATTAAAAAGGGAAAGTTTGATTTATGATTATTATTCTGTCCCATTACTTTTGGTCCCTTAACAAGTGGGAGGCACATATGCAAACTGTTGTAATTCCTACACCGTCTGCAACGGATTTGCAACCAAGTATTAAAAAGGGAAAGTTTGATTTATGATTATTATTCTGTCCCATTACTTTTGGTCCCTTAACAAGTGGGAGGCACATATGCAAACTGTTGTAATTCCTACACCGTCTGCAACGGATTTGCAACCAAGTATTAAAAAGGGAAAGTTTGATTTATGATTATTATTCTGTCCCATTACTTTTGGTCCCTTAACAAGTGGGAGGCACATATGCAAACTGTTGTAATTCCTACACCGTCTGCAACGGATTTGCAACCAAGTATTAAAAAGGGAAAGTTTGATTTATGATTATTATTCTGTCCCATTACTTTTGGTCCCTTAACAAGTGGGAGGCACATATGCAAACTGTTGTAATTCCTACACCGTCTGCAACGGATTTGCAACCAAGTATTAAAAAGGGAAAGTTTGATTTATGATTATTATTCTGTCCCATTACTTTTGGTCCCTTAACAAGTGGGAGGCACATATGCAAACTGTTGTAATTCCTACACCGTACATACCCTCAAATTAAAGCTGACAGTCTGCAGTTAAAGCACATTGTGTTTGTTTCATTCCAAATCCATTGTGGTGGTGTATAGAACCAAAGATGGTAGAATTGTGTCGATGTCCCAATATTTCTGGACCTGACTATATTAACACCAGAAAGACCTTTGTCTGATCTAAGTTCTTCCCTAGATTATCTATTTTCCACATATAACATGCTTTCAATCTTTTATTTTTCATTAATCTTTCCATGGGTGATTATACCCAATTTAAATAGTCAAACAGTACACAAACAAGTAACAAACAATTGCATTCCCACAAACATACACCAAAAAAAAGAGACAGAAAATATATGAGATCATGAGAAAATATAAAAACTTTTATAAGTACAGGTAGTCCTCACTTACCAACTGCAATTGGGATTGGCAACTCCATCACTAAGCGACACGGTCATAAAGTGAAATGTTACATCACCGCGCCGTCTTACAATGTCAGTTCCAGCTGCAGATGTTAAGCAAATCACCTGCGGTCATTAAGTACAATGTTATGTGACCATGACATGCAACTTCCTGCTGCCTTCCCCATTGACTTTGCTTGTCGGAAGCTGGCTGTGAAGGTTGCAAATGGTGATCACATGACCACAGGACGCTGCAACCCTCATAAATGTGCGTTGTTTGCCAAGTGCCTGAATCATGATCATGTGACTGTGGGGACGCTGCAATAGCAGCAACTTCGAGGACTGTTCATAAATCTCCTTTTTCAGCAATGTTGTAACTTTGAACGGTTGCTGAATGAGCAGTTGGTAAGTAAGGACCACCTGTAAACTATCCATAGTATCAGATGAATTAAAACCATGGCAATCTTCAGGACAGCAATTTTTGTTTTACACTGTTACATATGTTCTAGAAGTTAAAAAAAAAATTATAAAAACAATTTCATATTCAATAGTCACATATAAGCAGGGTAATAAATAAGCCAAACTTAGATCATATATTAATCAAATGTAAACCCATTTCTGCACAAAGTTTGTAAGATGTCACAAACTTAATTTCCTCATAGTTTTACAATATGACCTTAATTTAAACAAACTAAAATATATATTTCCAGTAGAACATAAATCTCACATACTAGTATATCTTATGCTGAATCTTTTACCTGTTTCTGAAACGTAAACAACAGGATCCTTCTTTAAAAGCTTGTCAGCTTTTGAAGACAACTTTCTCTCTGGTGGCTTCTTAGATTTCTTTATTAACGGTACCTCCTCTTCAGAATCTGAATTAAACCAAATAGCACCATTATTCTTTTCTGTATCAATCCACAAGTAAAAATACTCTGAGAGAAACCTTTCTACAGTCACTTTTGACTTAGACAGTCTTTGTTCATAGTACCTCCTAGCACAGATTAGGAGGATGCAAATCTTAACAATCTTCAAAATAATTATGACTAGCCAAATGGAATAAAAAACCAAAATGAAATCAAATTACTGGGAGTTTTTAAAATCAATCTCCACAAGCAGATTCAGGGGAGAGGAATCTTCAAAAAACACCTTCTCCTGTGCCACTGACAACAGCCTCCACTAGATTAAAATTCTTCTGTCTACAGAGAAGCACCAGTATAATCTAACTCATTTATGTGGAGACTCCAATACCCTTAAAGAGTGACAATATATTCACAAGGGCTCCAAACAGAAATACTGGATACCATAAATTACTTCACTTGGTGTGATGTTTAAAGATGCTATTTAAAACGTTCCAATCTTTCTATATTATGGCTCCAGGAGAATTAAGATTCAACTGATTTTTGTAATCCAACCCATTTATGGAATTTTCTAATGCTGTATTATGGAACTATAGATGCACTGAAGAAGGGACAGGCAACTTGGTGCTTTCTAAGTATTTTGGATGTCAATTTCCATAACCCTCCATACTCAACAGTGAAGAATTATGGGAATTGGCCTACATATTAGAGTACAAAGATCACACAGATGGACAAGATCTTAGCAATTATTTATGTCTTAGTCCACAGAAGGTCCCTAAATCAAACCCTAGAATCACTGCAGGTACAAGAGATTAGAAAACTTTCAGAGTCCTTGAACCAAAGTTGCCAGTTAAACAGATGACAGTGAACTGACTGGGAACAAGTCCAACATAAAAAAGCACTGATATTAATGTAATGTTCCATCCTGATGCCCTCCAGATATTTTCTACAGTATTTCCCATCATCTCTGGCCATGGAGATGGAAGCTGTAGTTCAAACCATCTGAAGGGCACTGCATTGCAGAAGACTAATAAAGAATACCATTAAATACAATTTTTATCCAGTTAATTTCATGTGAGATGAGTAGTTTCATTGTGAATCCAGGGATGTCTTAATTCTAGATACACATTTTATATAATTAATGAGTGAAAATTATTGGAAAAACCTATCAAGGTTTTCCAGTTGTTTCTCCAAAAAAAACTCTAGCAAACAGAAGTCATTTTAGAGATGAAAAATATAATTGGAACATTAGTTATAAGTTTTACCTGAATCATAGATTATCCTCTTTTTCTTGTTCACCTGTTTTTGCTTGAAATCATCTTCATGAGATGAATTTTTCACCTAAGTACAATGGCTCATTAATTATTCATCAAAACAATTATTTCAATTTTAACTCATTTATACAGTGCTACATGAATCAACAAACCTACCTTATACAGGATCCATTTTCATTACAGGCGATCACCCCAAACTAAGTATTCATAACAACAGGTTCAGCTTTGCCATTTGGGGAAGTCTTGGCCTGGTTGTTCTTGAAATCCTCCCTAAACACCAAGTGAACCCACCCCACCTCACCCATTCCAGTGCCTACAATTCTGTCCTTCACTAGCTCACAAGTCAGTTGGCTCATTCCAGCATATTTGTAATGGTGCGGGGAATACCCACCCTTCCTTTCAAAGAGCATTCACAAGCACACAGCTCAGAAGGTTGTTGAGAGATGCTCAGAGAGAGCTCATGGATAAATAAAAAGGAGGCTGGTTGCTACAGGAGTCACTGCAAAACAGGGTGTGGACTCAGGCAAACCATCAGCTCCCACAGATCTTCTATGTTGTATGGTAAATATGCAATCGCATGCTTCTCTGTCTCCCCTGGTCTCACTGAATGTTCTGCTATGTATGTATGTATGTATTTGATTTATATAGCCACCCATCTCACATAGTGACTTTGCGTGGCTTACAGCAAGTAAAAATAATACAAAATATAATGTGAAGTGCAGCAACATATGAAGCATCCAAGAAACGAATCTAACAATGTCGCACATCATGTACTCCCACTAAGACTCCAACCCCCCCATGTCAGGAACACAACCATGTCTTCAAGGCCTTCTGAAAGGCCAGTAGGGTTGGAGCCAATCTTATTTCAGGGGAAATGGGGGCAGCAACTGAAAAAACCCATTTTCTCCATCCCACCAGATGACATTCTTGTCTGTGGGACTCATGGAACCCACACTAGATATTGGTCTGTTGCTATCTGCCTGTCAGCAAGCTGAATACATCAACTCTTCTCCCATACTCTTTTACAGCTAAAATAAGTACAAATGAACCTCATACTTAAAATTTTAAATCACATATCTTTCCTTGTTCTATAACATCCTTGCTAGGTAATACACGGGCTCTACTATAGGAAGTATTACCATATGAAAAAAGCCCTTTCTTTCAGCATAAGAAATTGTCTCTCACAGCTCAGAAGGCAAAAAAAGGAACAAGGATGACAGGGGTGAAGCAAATCTGCTTGTCCTAACACGTTATTTCACTGGGGAACCAGAATGTATGAACAAGACACGAGACTGACTGAGAAAGGGAAAAGATGAGGAGGAGGAGGAGGCAAAGTCTCTGCCTCTTCTGCTTTAGGTGCACGGTGTGACCCTATTCAAGAAGCAATTTCTCAAATTCAGAGGGCACACAGGATTAGGATGATAGTTCTGAAAACCTAGAACACTTTCTCTGGAGTATAAAATGATTCAGCCAATCATCATGGAAAGTCCTATCAAATTAAAAACACCAGGAAAGGATATTGAGACAAAAACATCACAAAACCATGATCAAACTCCAAAGTATTTTAAACTAAACATTATATACTCACCTTGATTTCCTTCCGTGTCGATGTTCCCCCTGAATTTCTCTCTTTATTCTGGGGTTGTTCCTTTTTTGCAATGCCACATTCAGGTTTCTTTCCTGGAGCTACAACTCCAAAGAATTTACGGATATCCTGGTAAAAGAGTAAATAAAGTAACACAAAATTTGACCTTTCCTTCTGCAAAATTTCAGGACATACATTTGGAATACAATTCCTAATGCAAAGCGTAAAAGTCTGATGTTTAAAAACTATACTGAATTTTATTTTTCAAAGCAACTTACTGAGAACACTATAATTTGCTAGCAAATTTAAACAATCTAAAGCTCCACTATATACTGCAAATCAATCAATCTCTCTTAGAAATACTGACTGCAACTTAACAAGTACTTAGGATATTTTTTTAGCCCCTTGCTCTAAACAAGTTAACTGAAAAATAATTATGAAAGCCATTTATGTCCAAATGTATAGGTGCAATTTCAACAGATATAACTCAATCGTCAAACTTTCATTAAGTCTTCGGGATAAGATTGTTACTAAAACCAGTTTTGGATCAAGATCAACATACATCTTAAGTGGGATTTAAATGTTAATTCCGTTTAGATATTTTACACAAATACATAAGTTAATGAGATTTTTTTTTTTTTAATGGCAGGCTAAAGTCCCTAGATTATCTCTGGCTAAACTGTGTTTACATTATGAGGATGGTGGCTTTAACCTATCAGATTTTCAACCATATCACTGAGGTTTTATTTTAATTCCTACATTTTTTGTGGAGTAAGATATATTATGATTTCTCTCCTCTTTGGGCCTATTTGGAGAACAAATGCATAACACCTTTGAAATCTTGGAAATTTTTAGAGTCCAAGTATATTAAATCAGTATCACTGTTTCTTGCTTTGAAAGCTGTTAGGCATATTTAGTAATTAATTGGTACACAATTATATTTTTGATCCTACATCACAGGAGAAGTTGATATTGTAGTATAACTTAAATTTGAAAATAGCAGGGAAGATGTTCCATTGGAATGCTTGGACTAAATAAGGAATTAGTACATTAAATGAATTGATTTTTATTGGCTGCTTTAAAGATTGAGATATTACTTTTGTGTTTGACTTATCTTCAATATATGCTTGAAAAAATAGATATAATTGAAATATGTATTAACTAAGCAGTATGGCTCAGGTGCTGTAGAAGTCTCTGAGATACCTGCAATTCTAGCTTTTTAGAGATGCTCCACTTTAACAGAATCCAACAGTGCAATTTTATAAAGTATTAAAGGGTGAAATTAAAGTTAGTATTAATTATATATTTGATTTATAGAAGGAAGAATTGAAATATTGAATTCTGGAAAATCAATGGGTCCACATATTTAAAAAATCTGAAAAACACTTTCTATGATTTCAAAATGAATTCATCAGAAACAAATTTCAGTTCTACTGGACCTCTCCAAGAGTGTTTAAAAATGGATGGATATTAGATTTGTTATAGTGGCAATGTAAAAAACTTGAAGAAACTAACTCACATGATTTAGTCTTGTTCTGGTATACCTTTATTTTTGTTTCAAATGAAGACATACGTTAAAATAATTTAAGGACGAAATATTACATTTAATAATCTCTAAGTGAATCGTATCTCTAAAACGTATCTATTAAGCTTAGGGTACAAGCAAAGGAGATAAACCTACATATCTGGAAAGAAAATCATTATCTTGATTTTAAGGAACAGAACCAGGTGAGTTTGTTATCTATTTCTGAAAATTCTTTGTGTTCTAAGAATAAGATGACATAGTACATTACTGTACGATCCAGATTTAATAAGCTTAACAACTGAATTAATTCTATACAAGTATTCATAATTATTATACGGATCTTTTTTCTATTAATTAGAAAGGGAATTTTATGTTTAGGTCATTTAATCACTGTCACATACTTTAGGACTTTTTTCCCACTCTATGAGCATTATTCAATATCTTTTTTTTCTTTTGTATTTCAGTATTTTGACAAATAAAATCAATAACAAAAAACTACTAAAGCCCATTATTTATTTCCAAGTAATTTGTTTCCTGAGGAATTATTCCATTGGATTCAATAAAATTAGGCCCGGGCTATACACACAAGCAGCTAATCAAACAGTAAAACAGTACTACTTCAGTTCAGAGTTGGAAATTGTATGTTCAAACACACATTCATTAATTCACAGACAAAGCAAATAATTAGGAAGACATTACAACAGCTCATTGTAACAATTTTCTGTACATGGGAAGAATCGAATGGAAACACAAATATATGGATGTTTCCAGAGGTGCAACCTACAATATATTAATCTTTATTCTCCATGGTTTCTGCAAACTGTGTGTGCCATATAACATAGGCCAACAAAATCTCTTTGGTTATAATTCTATCTCATTAGCGGCCAAAACAATATGTACATATTAAAGTGCTTAAATATGATTCATGCATCTGCTCCCTCTTGCCACTCAGTTAAAGTGCCTAGCTATCCACTGCATTTTATGGTAACTACATGCTTTCCAGCTGACAATCAAGAAAACCTCTCTCACTTATTTACCTTAGGTGCTAGTCCACATTATCCTACAAAGAGATTTAAATGCATTCTCATAACTACACATTTAATATCTCATGCTAATGGCCATTTCGCCCTGGATAGAACTGTCAGAAGTTTGATCAATGCTTTTGCAATTTCTTTTTTTATATACATATATATTAATACTGAGTGCATATGTTCTCTTTGGAAAGCAAAGATAAGAAATAATGGAAGCAAGAAAAAAGAAACTGTCAGATGCCGTTCTCTTCCCACATCAGCAACTTAATGTTTTTTTCCTGAGTTCGTCAATGTCATCAGAGAGCAAAGACAAGATTAAATAAATGTGCACCAGAGAAGCCAGCAAGTGTATGCTTTGGCACACACCTGTATTTACAAATACTACCACACAGAGAGAAAAACGAAATGTTCTTGAGAGGAAAGAAGCCATTTCCAAATATTACTCAATAGGAAAAAACAAGGTATTGGAAACTTCAGTAGATATCAGAGGGACTATAATTGTTCAAAAGCAATGCAAAAATATCTGTTTTCCTGCATGGTCTATTTTTAAAAAGATGGATAAAAATGTATTTTATATTGCAGTTCTGTCTTTTCCAGAGGCACACAAGCACTGCAAAAGAGGCTCTATAATGCTTTGTGTCATATATTGTTTAAGCCTACATACAATTGCCACTAAGGAAGCAGAACCACAGGCCTGATCCCGTGCTCAATTTGCTATTAGGGAGTTTGTCACCATCGTGAGCATCCCTTTCTCAGCTAATTATACAAAACTGCACAAAATATATTGAATTGAGAGTTTAGGATTTCGGCCTGCCCTAAAGACTGCTAGCTTCCTAACAGAAGAGACAAAGGTTGTGAAACCACTATCTATATTTAATTATATAAAGATTGTATCTGCAAACATGTTAATGGCCATGTTTACCAAGAAAATCATTTCCACTGGGTTCACTAGGACCTGCTTCTAAAAATGTATGCAACTGGTCTAATCCATCAGTACTGATAACCGTCTGTGTCCTTGCCCTATATCCTTCTGAACCCAGACTAATATCAGTCAATTATTGTTAACTGACACTCAGAAAATAACTGGAGAAAAACTGAAGGCAGGATGCTTCACAAGCAAAGTTTGCAATATTTGTCATGATAAAATCTAAACAGCAACAAAAGGGCTACTTCTAAACATAAATGTGTACACATTTTAAACTTAAGGGCATCTGGGATTATTTCTATTCCATTCTATTCAAGTATGTTTTTATCCAAATTAAGCTACTGAATCTGATAATCAACTTCTCTGCGAAGAGTTTTTTGAAAAAAACTCAGAAAAATGCAGACGGTTGAGGAGCAACTGCTCTCATCATAAATAGCTTGGATAACCTATTTTAAAATTAACAGGACAATGAAGGCAATGAATCATTGCTTACAAACTGCTGTAGAAGCAAAGTATAAAAAGAATTGATGTAGGTGAAATTCAGTTCTTCATACTGATGAACACTTCCATTTTGCAGCCATTAAATAAATAAATCCAAACTGCTGAAATTGGTCACACAAGAAATTCCAACAAACTCTGATTTACAGTTAGGAATATTCAGCATCTCTGTGGTTGTGCAAATTTAGCAGATAAATATTTTTAAAGGCACAGAGATAAGCATGATTGATATATGCTTATAAATGAGGAGAATGGGACACATATACCCTCAGAAAGAAAAGCTACCACTGAGGGGGGAAATGGTTGGGAATATCACATTCAAAACTGCTTTTTAAGAAAATGTTTGACATCACTGGAAGTTAAGAGATCAGTTAGATAACTACCAAATACAACATTAATTTTAAGACACAGAAAACAGCATTTAGGCTCACACTAATAACGCAGCCCAATTTACAACTCCCAAACCTGGAATTTTATCAAACCATGGCATTTGTAGGCAAATGCTCAAAATGGATAGGTTATTGGAGGGGGAGGGGAACTTTAAGCTCTTGTCACAACTTTTACTTGTTTCCATGAACCACTATCACTGTAGCAAAAGGATATTTAAATATAACAAGCCTGTAAACATCCGCAAACAAGAGAGCAGTGCCATTTATAATTTTGAAAATTCCTTTTTTTGAAACTGCCATCTAACTTGATACCTGCTTATAATCTCTGTCCCCAGATATGGCAGCCATCTTAACAGAAGCCATTGAAAGGGGAGCAAAAGAAAGCCAACTTGGTGGTTTTATGGGGAAAGAAGGTGTGGCCAGTGACTAACAATTCCTACTTGGGAAATACTTTCTTTTATGAAAAGTCATAACATAGTCCTTCAGAAGTAGCTCCACTACATGTTCAACTGAATTATCAGTTAAGTAGTATATTCTCTTTCTAATCAGCTAATTATAAGTAATTCTATAATATTTGCAAGAAGACGCTGCATGCAGTTTTAATTTTTAAAACTGTAGTTATATAAGCATATACTGGCTAGATTCACACATTGCATTAAGCTATGGCTTATATAAAGTAAACCAGAATTGGCTCAGTTCATACAACATGTGAAACCAAAACTAATCATCAATATTTTAGTTCATCCCCAAACCAGGAAGGTTGAGAAGATGCATTATTTTTCTTAAAAGAAACTATTTTACTAATTATCTTTCCTTCCCCCAGAAAGATAACTGATGTTGATTTTTTGAAGAAGAAAAAAAAGTTCTATCGGATTTTCTGTATGACACGAATTGCTTAAAGAATATTTAAGGAACGCAAACATTCACAGCTATGCACATACTTTTTTGAATAGCGGGGGAATATCAGAACCAAAGTGCTGTGATTGGAGGTGTTTAAAAGCCATGCTCACATCAGTAGAAATATACCCATCTTAGGATATGTGCCCAGAAAGTCTCATAAATAATGGTTCTCTGTACCTTTGGCTAGACAGATAAGATGGTTAAGAGGATTATTTCTCTTGAGGCCACTCTGTCTTAAGAAAATAACTAGGCCGCAGTGACTTCCTCTGCTTTTAAAGCAGATCACGCAGAAAGAATGGATTACTTTACAGGCTCTTAGCAAGAGAGTCCTCTAAAAATAGCATTTTTTTGGTGTCTCTATTTAAACAGGCATCTCAAACACATATCCACCTTCCTCTGCGCACGTGAAAGACTTCAGTGGGATTTGCATATATGAAATCAAGCGTGTGCGGGGCAGCGTTGCGTTGCAGCTGAATTTGTTCCCGTGCGTGCGTGTGTGTGTCACTTCGCTGCTGCTGGGAGGGGAAAAACCTGCGACGACACCCTGAACCGCAGCTTCGGCATCCTCGGTCAGCGGGCCGGCAGGGAACGGGGGGCCGCGACGGCTGCTGGAAAGGGCGCGAACTCCTTTCAGCGTGGCCAGCCGGTGCCCGTCCGCCCGAGGCCGGGCCTCCCTTTGCAGTCAGGCGGGGTTGCTTCGCCTTGGAAAGCAAGCCCGGACTCGAAGGGGCGGCTGGCCTCTTGGTGCCCTTCCTCTTTCGGGGGGCTTCGGAACAAGAAGGGTGGACGGACACGGGGAAGGCCGGACTGACCCTCCTCACCGCGGCTTCGGAAGCGAGAGGGCCGGGGCGGACCCTTGCGGAAACCGGGGCCTCTTCCGAATCGAGCCC